GATATCCAGCCCCGGGGGGCTATCCACCCCCATATGGACAGCCTGGAGGGTTTTATCCACAACCAGGTGGCTACCCAGAACCCAGAGGCTACCCAGAACCTGGTGGCTACCCAGAACCCGGGCACGACCCTCCAAAACCTGTGATGCCGATGTTGCCAAATATACCTCTCAACCCAGGTAACCTCTGTCTTCTAGGATCACTTGCATACAGCCTGTAAAATGAAAACTAATGCGGCCACCACTTCTATGGACCGGGGGTCTGCCATATATTACATGCTTGTTGTTTGGTTTAGTTATACTTCAACGTCTGCGTCCCGACTGTAAACATTGATGGTAACACAAAATACAGAACAGTGTATAAGCTTTATTTATTGTAGGGTGACGAAACCAAATGCCGGTTCACTTAGTACCGGGTGAAAAGTGGGAAATAAATGAGCCCATTGGTTTAGGCCAGGGGTAGCCAAACTCCGGCCCTCCAGCTGTGGTGAAACTACAAATCCCATGATGCATCTCCCCCCTGAGAGTCATGTCTGTGGCTGTGAGAATCTTGCAATGCCTCATGCAGTGGCGTAACAATCACCATAGCGACTTAGGCGGCCACTATGGGGCCCAGGGGGGCTCGGCCAGGACATCCCCGATGCCGTGCGGGCCGCCTAGGTCGCTATGGCATCCCAGGCTGTCACTGGCGGCTGTGTGGAGGAACACGGTGACAACCAGCAGCTTTGGAGATGGTGAGCTGCAAGGTCACCCTCAGGTGGGCTGCTTGGGTTATCAAGTGGGCTTAACTAGAAATCACAGGGCCCCATACAAAATTTTGCTATGGGGCCCTGTGATATCTAGTTACGCCCCTGGCCTCATGGGATTTGTAGTTCCACCACAGCTGGAGGGCCAGAGTTTGGCTTCCCCTGATTTAGGCAATTTAATAAGCTATTCTATTTCCTAAAATGATTTCCTATCACTGTCCTGCTGGAGGATAAAGTCGCTGACCAATCACTGCCACTGCTGTCTTTTGTCCCATAATACCTTGTAACTGGAAAGATGGGATTGGTGCTGATTGGTCACATGACTATCCGTCATAGACCATGCTGGCATGCCTGCTACCTTGGAGGTATGGATAGGTAGCACTGGAACCCTGGGATTGTCCCATTGGTGGTATTATCCAATAGTATCGCGGTAGTATTTATTCAGGGGGGGCTGGATTTGACACATCGGAGGGTTCCCACAGTTACCTTCACCATCAAAACTTGCCCCACTTTATTAGGGCTTAAGGATAGGAAATAATGTATGTGGTCTGAAACAAGGATACAATGTGTGTGGTCTGAATTGGGGATACAATGTGTGTGGTGTGAATTGGGGATACAATGTGTGTGGTCTGAATTGGGGATACAATGTGTGTGGTCTAAATTGGGGATACAATGTGTGTGGATTGAATTGGGGATACAATGTGTGTGGACAGAATTGGGGGTACAATGTGTGTGGTTGTATGTCACGGTAGCACATTGCATGTTTTAACTTTCATATAAATATGGAATTAAAAGTGGGAGGAGCCTGTAGGAAGCGGCACCACCATGCATGCACGATCTCCAATTCCAGCCTCGTATAGTAGGGACTATTCAGCCTCCCACATTGTAATTCTGTTCCGTTTTTGTCTTGTAGGTGGAACTGACCCCAGTGTGTACAACCCTGGAGATGGACAGGGACAGTTCGGCTCCTGGGATGACAAGGCTGTCCGACACGCTTTCATCCGCAGGGTGAGTCTTCCGTACACTAAGTGCTTCCAACTCCATTGTCATTTCAGTGCTCCTCAGCTCCCTCTAGTGGCAGTAATGATGTGCGAACGTCGTTCCTCCAGCTACCCCCGCACTGCAAGGGCTAATTGCTCGTTTTGGGGCTAAAATAAAGAAGATAAACTCGCCTGATCCTTGGTCCTGCTTGGCAGCTAGGCCGGTCCCTGCAGCCTCTTCTCCCCCAGTCTCTGGCAGTCTAAGGACCACTGACGTCATCACTTCTAATGCAACTGCATTAGACGTGAGGACACTGAGGGACATACCACCACCAGAGCGGGGGGGAGGCAAGAGGTGAGCACTCAGGACAGAGGATTGGGCGAGCATATCGTCTGTATTGTGACCCCTAGAGGAAAACGAGCACTTAACCCTTGCAGTGGGGGTGGGTAGCCCCATACACGCACATAGCAGGGACGAGCGGTCAGGGGAGGTAGGGGAGGCAGAGCCTCCCCTAGTATTATGGAGGAAAAAGCTGAAAGCCTCTCCGCTGTGTAACCTGTTATGGACGGAGCGCTGCATCCGGCTTTTGACAGCTACGTTAGGTTACACAGCACGGGGATTCCCCACTGCATGTGTAACAGAGGCGTAACTAGAAGCCTCAGGGCCCCGGTGCAAGAAACCATGAAGGGCCCCCCACTGCGGAGCATTAGCCTGCCGGGAGCTGTAGTCCCAGGAGGCAATGTCGGTGCCTCGGCAAATTAAAAAAAAATTCCAAATTTTCAGTAATTTCTCCTAATTATAGTAAAAAATAAAAGCCCCAGTGGTGATTAAATACCACCAAAATAAAGCTCTATCTGTCCCCCAAAAATGGTATAAAATTCATTTCAGTACAGCGCTGCATGACGGAATAAATGTCAGTCAAAGTACCGCAGCGCTGAATACTGAAAAATGGCCTGGCCAGGAAGGGGGTGTAGGCACCTGGTCTTCAAGTGGTTAATATTATCTTGTCTGACATTTCTTGTGATGACTATAAATTAGGATTATTGTCACACTCACATTGGAGAACGCATGTTTTTCTTTTCATATCCATTTTCATCGCAGTCCCCGGCACAACGATCTCCTCCTTACAACACAGCCGGACACGCCCCCTCCACTACTCAGCTCAGAGCTCCGCCCCCTTTATGCTGATCAACGAGCTTCTCCCACGTCAGTATCTGCATAATAAGTAGCACAGAACAGTAGTAGTGCAGTCCGTGCAGAGTGGGTCCCCGAACATGTGAGAGCACTGGCCGGCTGGGAGCTGTATGTTGGCACATCGGAGATTACGGGGGGGCCCACTTCTTCCTTTCTGGGGCCCCGCCCCAAGTGGCGGAACGCCAGGGCCCGGTCGCATATGTGACCCTGCTAGTTCCGCCAGTGATGTGTAGCCTAACATAGTGAGGCAAGAGCTGCAACAGCCTCTATTCTATGTTAGAGTCTTGAGCAAAGCGCCATTGGTCCAAGCTGTCCAATCAAAAAAAAAAGAAAATACTGAGGACTTGGATCTCGATGCCTCACCAGTGATGAGCAAGTGAGCGACAGGGAGGCTCCTCCCACCCTTCCTCCTTCACACTAGCTTGGTGACCGGGTTGGGGGGCAGGGCATCATTGGGCTGTGGGTGGGGCTTTGGCTGGCTGTGGGTGGGGCTTTGGCCGGCTGTGGGTGGGGCTGGGGGAATGCCTCACTAAGCACAGAAGGTACCGCACATGACTGGCACATAGGTTGATCTGGATGGTATGGCACTATGTGTACTTCTCCATCAATCACATCCACATGTTGCTGTTTTTCAGGTGTACGCCATCATCTCGGTCCAGTTGCTGGTCACGGTCGGCATCGTGGCGATCTTCACGTTTGTGTAAGTTTTATATATTCGTTGTCCTCTTCCCATCGTCCTATTCATGTTCATTGTCTCTCTCATAGGCGACTGTGAAAGCTCCAAAGGTCTGCTCATTAGAACTTCCTCAATGCTGTTTTGGCTTCATCAATAAATCAATACAGGAGCAAAGAGCGGCGCCCGCACGGACCAATCGGAACCCTTCTGGGACTGGGACCAGTAATGTGAATCCTGATGGGCGGCTGCCATGAGAAGCGGCGCTGAAATTCCGAATTTGCAACGTTCATAGGCTAACAAGGAGCATGCTGACAGGAGGAGAGAGCAGAGAGATGACCTCCCCACTGTGCTGCCACTAGAAGGAGCTGAGGATCATCGGAAAGAAATACACGTTTGTAATGAGATATGTGGTTACAATTCCGGAGGTTGCTGGAGGGAATGTGACTACGACCAAAGGAAGCGCTGGACTGATACAAGGCTGCTGATAATAACACAAACATATCTACAGCAATAGCTTTTTTTTTTTTTTTTTTTGAACCTTTGTACAAAAAAACAGGAAGTTATGAGAAATCCCAAATTTAGCAGTTTTACAGGAACAGCGGGGGAGGGGAAATCTCCTAATGAGGAAACTAGTGACAATTGTCCAATAAGGGGTCAGCTCTGAAACCATGTGACATAGGAGAGGGGGAAAGAAAATGCCTGTGTTATGCTTTTGTGAGCTGAATCTAATGTTGTTGTGTTTTGCGCAGGGTACCGGTGCGCAGGTTCGTGGTGCAAAATCCTGCTGTCTACTATGCTTCATAGTAAGTACATACATGGGGTATGTATGGGGGCAACTCAATGGGGTAAAGTAAGCGCTTACATGGGGTATGTATGGGGGCAACTATATGGGGTAAAGTAAGCGCTTACATGGGGTATGTATGGGGGCAACTATATGGGGCAAAGTACGTATATACATGGGGTATGTATGGGGGCAACTATATGGGGCAAAGTACGTATATACATGGGGTATGTATGGGGGCTTCTTTATGGGGTAAAGTAAGCGCTTACATGGGGTATGTATGGGGGCAACTATATGGGGTAAAGTAAGCGCTTACATGGGGTATGTATGGGGGCAACTATATGGGGCAAAGTACGTATATACATGGGGTATGTATGGGGGCAACTATATGGGGCAAAGTACGTATATACATGGGGTATGTATGGGGGCTTCTTTATGGGGTAAAGTAAGTGTATACATGGGGTATGCATGGGGACTTCTTTATGGGGTAAAGTAGGTGTATACAGGGGTATATATGGGGGCTAATTTATGGGGTAAAGTACATGCATGGTGTATGTATGGGGGCTTCTTTATGGGGTCTATAGAATAAAAATTCCTATTTATCTGGGATAACTGCCCGCACAGTGGGTTGTTCTAAGCCAGTTACCCAGCTATTGTGAGAATGGGGCAAATGTTCTTGGTGTATTTCCTCTTCTAGTTGAATGTTTGTCGATAGCTTCTTTCTTCAGAATACCTCATTATGGCCACTAGATGGAGCCGAGTATCACGGGGGAAATAAATACATCTTAGTAATGAGATACCATGTTACAGTTCTAGAGGTTGCTGGAGGGAATGAGCAGATAAATGTAACCATTGCTACTACGGGGATATGATCCTTATCTCCATCTAGTGGCCCCCGCCGTCCGATCAGAGGCTGGGGGAGGCCATAATGCAATACTTTCCTGATTCCTGGCTGAGGTCCTGAGATCTGAAATGGTGAAATTCCCAGCTGAGCTTTTAATGACAGAGTATCTGGAGAACTCGGTTTAATAGTGAATTCACTGCATTGCTCTCTGATCACTTCTATCCAAAGCATTGGTCTATAGTAGTGTACTGACTATCCTCACAGCTCTGCCTGTCCGGAATTCGGCCGTACTTTGAGATCAATGACATGTATATACACTCAGGGCAGCCATCAGGGGGGTACGGCTGATACTCATGTAAGGGGCCCGGGCAGCCTGGGGGCCCGCCCGGGTCCCTTGCATGGCTATCGGGCCGACGGTGAAGGGCGAGGGGGTGGAGGCCTGGCCCTAGCAGCGCAGGGCCCCAGCATTGCCGCTCCAGCGGCTTCGAGACAAGCTGGGGCCCCATCAGCGATGCTGCTCCTCTGATGTCGGACTGGCCGGAAGTGACGTCACGTTAGTGATGTGACGTCACTTCTGGCCTGTCCGGCGGCAGACGAGGCCATGTGTGCAGGTAAGAGGAGCTGGGAAGGAAAGGAGGGAGGGGTGCAGCCCTGACCAGCCCACCTGAAACCCCTTCAGAGCCTAGATGCTGCACAGCCCATCTGAGACTGTCTATGGTGGGCTCTGCAGGGTCACTCTCAGGTGGGTCCTGTGTCACGGCCTAAAGCCGTGTAAGGGGCCCCAAAATTTCTGATACCTGCCCTGTATACACTGCCAGGTGGACACAGAGGGAGGTCACACAGGGGTGCCACCAAAATTTTGCTATGGTGTCCCATGATCTGTAGGTACACCCCTTTTATATATGATCTGTAGGTACACCCCTTTATATATGATCTGTAGGTACACCCCTTTTATATATGATCTGTCCGGTCCTATCTCTGTGTGTAATACCTTCTCATTTCTACTTCACAGTGCTGTGTTCTTTGTCACCTACATAGTCCTGGCCTGCTGCGAGGGGCCCAGGTGAGTCTCTGCATTGCTGCATATACATGTAAAGCCTAAACTGCCTCTTTTCCCCTTTCTGCAGATCGCATACACTCGCATTGTAATACACAGTGGATTCCTTTTCCCTATTTTGAGTTTTTTTTTTGTTGAACCTTCATTCTATTAAAATGAGGCACTGCGGGTCAAAATTGGCATAACCCCTTCGTGCCTAGAGGCAGTGGTGTATTCTGGTTTGGGGCTGCCCTAGGCGAGATGAAACTCAGATACCCACCCCCACACTAAATTTGCCTGTGTTTGACTTTTTGAGTAACCTGTCAGTCGCTGGATACAGTGCACACATTGTTTTCAGCTTTAGCAGCAGGAAAGCTGGGGTCTCAGATGGACTCTGCAGGGTCTATGGTGGGCTCCGCAGGGTCTCAAGGGGGCTGTGCAGGATCTGTGGTGGGCTCTGTGGGGTCTTAGGTGGGCTGTAAAGGATCTCTGGTGGGCACTGCAGGTCTCGGGGGGCTGTGTAGGATCTGTGGTGGGCTCTGCAGGCTTCAGAGCCCACCACAGATCCTGCACAGCCCCTTTAAACTTTTATTTGGTACACTGTCTTTAAAAAAAACCCTGCTCTGTGTGTTTTTTTTAAATTATTATTATTATAGGCGGACAAATGCATAAAAAAGTGTAGGTCTACATTTTTTTAAATATTGTAATTCAGGTGTGGGTAACCCTGGCCCTCCAGCTGTGGTGAAACTACAATTCCCCTGAGGCATTGCAAGACTCTGACAGACACAGGCCTGACTCCCAGATGCAGAGGCATGATGGGATTTTCAGTTTCACCACAGCTGGAGTGCTAAAGTTGCCTACCCCAACGCGAACTGAGTTACAGCATTAAACCTATGGCATCGCACATGAACCCTGTAGTCTGAAGGTGCCATTGTTTATTTGAGGGCTTTTATTTTTTTCAGCGAAACCTGCATGTAGTCGCCATGTTATAACTGACTTGGTGATCACATGATGGGAAAGCATACTAGTTGGATCCGCAGTGATAGCCGGGATTGAGAGCCACCAGCGGCACTAAGTGGCACCTGTAGGCTCTCAAAGGGGAGAAAGTTTATAAGTGTCATCTCATCATGGGGCATTGTGCTGATGAGAAGGAAGGAGTCATTTACAACCTGTGCTCCTCTAACGCACGCACATGAGACCCCAGCGCTGTGTGGCATGGCGTTGCTGGTCTAAGTTTTGTTAATAACAAAGGATTCACTATGTTTCGGAACAAGAACAGCTATAGGACAAGAGATTCCTAACCCTAAGGAACCATTTAAAGCCCCTTAAAGCTCAATTCCAGACTTAACCTCCCCACCCCGAACCCCACACACTTAAAGGAGAACTATGAGGTGAGTGCTTTTCACTCACCTCATAGTTCTAGCCGAACACTCCACATTTTTTGAACATACTTTTTTTGGGCCAGTCATGGCCCTGGTCTTCTCTTAGCTCTTCAAGCAACCCCCTTAATTTTATCTGCCCCATTGACTTCAATACATTTTGCCAAAATGTCCTGATTTTTTTATTTCTCTTTTTGCTCGCCCCTCAAAGTGAAAGAGTTTCCTTGTAATGTACATTTGTGTGGATTTTAGGACTGTAATATGGACTGTGGTAACTTTTTTTAAATCCCCCCCCCCTTTCAGGAGACGCTTCCCCTGGAATATAATCCTTCTGGCTATATTTGTGAGTATCTGTGTTTTTTCTCTGTTTGTTGGTAGATATCAGCTCATCAACTTGTCTGGACAGTTCTTTGGGGCAGATTCTGGCCGGACGGTATTGCCCAGCACTGGCTGTCTGTAGCCTTTTTATGGCACTGAGGCACATCCACCTTTTTCTGCTTTATTGATCTACATACACAATGGGGCTGATGTATAACCATTCTGTCCGGCCTTTAGCTAGGAAGGGCCACTCCTCCAGACTGACATCCACCAGTTAAGGTATTTTGATGTTTTCATAACTCCCCTCCAAGAGCCAGCCTGCTGCTTCCATCAACTTGCATCAGGGCTGAGGGCTCTTGAGAGATGTACTTAAGCAGAATGCTCTGATTTTTAATTTTGTTTTTGGGAAGCTATGTGCAGCACCCTGCCAGCCCCTCCCACCAGCAATGTCTGCCTGCATTGCATAGAGAATCACAGACACTCAGTGATGATATCAGTGGGCCTTACATACGGCATGTCATAAAAGCAGAAAGGTGTGTTTTTTTTTTTTTTTTTTTTTTTTTTTTTATTTATTTGTTTGTTTTTGGGGGGGGGGGG